TGAATGTTAGTTGAAAATGAATTTGAGACAAAAAAATATGGTCATTCCATTAAATTTTGCATTAAATTTTGGATTAATTAATATTACATTTCAAAAACTTAAGATAATATCACTAATTTAGGACCTGTCAAATTATTTTCGAATATATATATATATATATATATATATATATATATATATATATATATATATATATATATATATAATCATTAATTGATTTTATCAATGCGGTACGGTTTAAACCGCAATTTTGTAATCGTAAACCACAAACCGCACCGCAAGTGTTTTAAAAAGCGTTATGCGGTGCGGTTTGGTGCGGTGCGGGCGGTTTATACGGTTTGTGCGGTTTATTGCACACCCCTAATTTCAAGTAATAAAGGTGATGCCAAAAGAAAACAAAAAACTTATAAAAGATGCTAGTATTTTTTTAAATAACTCGACAAAAAAAATGTTATTTCTTAGCCAAAAAAATTAAAATATATTTATTTAAGTCAGTTAACTAGATTTTTTAAAAGTTTATCTATCTATACATTCATATATTAATCAAGAAAAATGACCAAAATAAATGATGTACCACATTTTCAAGTTATATAAGGCTGGAGGGAGTGGCCTCGCCACCCCTCACGCCAACAACCTCGTCAAGAGACGCTGTACCACTCCTCAATATTCGCCATGAAGCTCATTAGCAGGAGTTCGCCAAGGGTCTAGCGAGAGGAAAGAGAAAGAAATGGAACAATATGATTGGCAAATGAGTTTTTTTCCATGAAATTGAAATTTCCAAGTTAAAGAAAAGAGAAATATTATCAATTTGGTCGTCAGGTAGCAAACCAGGAAGATGACACAGATTTCATAATTTGGCATTTTTGGTCCCTTGATTTTAGCTTTATGACAGTTTCAACCCTAACTTACAACTTCTTTTACAACATAAATTTCTAGAATTGGCATAAAACCCCCTGCAAAATTTTATTGTAACTTTTTTAATTTAATATGAAATATTGTGTTTTAAAAAATATAATTGATTTGATATTAATTGTTTGTGGTTTAAAAAAAATTATTTAAAAAAAATATAATTTAATTAATTTTGAAAAAGAAAAAAATTGGTGTGCTAGGAGTGTTACCACTCCTTATAAAATGCTAAGATTTAGGTATTAAGACAAAAAGATGACGTGACATGCAAAAAAGTGATGTGACAATGTGCTACACTCCCTGCTAGTTTCACAACATGTCATATTAATGTTGTGATTTTTTTTCCATAATAATGTATCACAATGTATGTTGTGAAGTACAAGACCATTGCGAAATATTTTTAAGGGAATTTCGATTATGATTTGTCATTTAGTTTAATTAGGTTTCGTAATAAGTCTGTAAATTTGTAAATTTTCTAAAATCAATGCCAAATTACCCAATTTTGTCTATAGTAGCCATTGAAGCTTTATAACCAACTTACACAAACTCGACTCCATTACATCTCTTTCAAATATTTTCTTTTTAAAAGAAGTTATAAGAACCTCAATAATGCCTAACAAATACAAATATCTTTGTGAAGACAATGATAGCGACTTTTGATTAACAACATATTTCCTATTTTTTCGGCGAATTAGAATGCTACTCTCTCGGTGGGATCTCCTTGGCCAGCAGACAACGATTCGTGAAGGCGAATCTGTGGTGTAATTGCATTTTCAGATTTTGGTTCGGTGACTCGAGCATAATCAGCTAGAGTTTTTAGCGAAGGATTTTGACAAAATCCTATTTGGTGAACTATTATACATAACATCATGTTTAGACAAAGGAGATTTTTCCCGTTTTTTGAGGCTTCAATCTATTTCACGCGAAAGCAAATGACCAGAAGCTATTATTGATGGCGACGACCGTGACATTCTCATTTTCACAGTCAGTAAAGTCTTTTTTATTTATGTTTATTTTAAAATATAGTTTATTTATAATTGCGGAATTTGTCTCATAAAACGTATTTATGAATAAATGTTTTTCTTTGATTATTAAAAAATTGGGATGTCATAACTTATACAAAAAACACAAGGATAAACTTAATCATTTCTGACCTCACAACATCTAATGGCCTACGTTTCTTCGAATCTCTCATCAGATCCAAACATCAAATACATTCGTATCGATACTTATGATACAAAGAAACTGAGTGGGTCAGTTGAGAAACCTGTTGAGTACATAGAGTTTTCAACCTACAATAATATAATTAATTTGTTTAATTATTTATTTCAAATCAATAATTAACCCAATTACCCATCTCCATTTTCTTCTATCTTCATCCCTAAGAACTTATCCTAAAGATCATCATAGTCATCGTTGCTGACAGTACTGTTTTAAGGATTTCTCCGCAATACATGTCAGTAGATTTCCTTCTATATTCATTCCTAAGGATCATCATAATCATCGTTGCTGACTATTTCATGGATTTCTCCACAATACATGTCAGTAGGAAGCAGAGTACATCAAATGGGCACAAAGTCCATCACCTACATGTTATAAACCTACATGTGTTCCACAAGACTGTCTTGAATAGTCTGGTGGTCGTCACCTATACTCTGTTAGATGACTACATTGTTAGTACACTAGTACCATTCCTACATCGTTAATACACTAGTACCATTTATACATCGTTAGGATACTAGTATTATTTAAAGTCGTGGCCTATTATCATCGTTTTCATCTCGCATCATCTATCACCCTCAACATTTTATTCATCCCTCATCAACCATTACTACCTAATAAATATTATAGGTATGAAAATACACATATGGTAAATCATATAAAAATCATCTTATATTATTTCATCTAACACGGAAAATTTTGATCATAGATAATAAGCACATACAACATTCAATTATCTAAATACTTCATATCTATTCGTAAGATGAAAGTAATTATGCACTCACTTGTTAAAGTGGATGGCTAGAAAGTTGGGCAGTGCTTCACTTCAGCACTTAGTTTTCCTTTGATGTGACATAGGTTTAATTATCACTAAGTATTAGTCTAATATTCTTTGTGACTAATGATAGTCTAGATTTCTTAACAATCCCAATGTCTACATCAAGATCTATCAAGTAAGGAGCAACTAAGTAAGATCATGCGGAGGTAGGGTCCGTTTGGTATGCAGAGTATACGATTTGGAAATCCCATTTTAAACACCTCGCTAAATGTAGCCTAGACATCAACCCTGTAAGTAGATCAATCAGTATAATGACTTGGAATTACTAATGAATCTTTTTTATAAATTCATAGCAACGACTATGAATATAAATATAAGTTACACTGAAAACAATATAAGTGTAGCTTAACTTACAAAGATTTTTCAGACCAAAGTTCGAAAATTGCAGTGGCAGAACATCAAATTGATATCTATTAATTACTAGGCTTTCAGGGACCTCAGAGCTTGCCAAAATAACCTAAATACTAAAGAATTTTTGGGCCAAATGCAGAGAAATTTGAGATCGAGAGTGAGTTGGAAAGGTGTGAGAGAAGAATGGAGCACTTGCAAGCTATTTATAGTTTTTAGGAAAGGCACATCGCGCAAGACAGGTGCGCGCCGCTTCTTGCCGTGGTCGCTACTCCTCGCAATTAATGGGTGGAGCTACGTGGCAGAAGGGGTAGGTACAAGTTGTATCTTTAAAAATCCATGTCTCGCTCATACTAGCTCTGTTTTTTACGTTCTCTATATCCACGCGTAGGTACTTTCGAGTACTACAACTTTCATTTAGACTTCGTCGACTAATTCTCATCCGATCTTAAATTTAACAGTCTACGAAGATTATACTAAAAAGGACCATGTAAAATTCATAACTTCTTCATATGGATTCCGTTTTTTACTGTCTTTATATCGATGTAATTTTATTAACGATATCTTTAACTCTCGTTTAGATTGTTTCGACTTAAAATCAATCGATTTGAATTTTGATTTCTGTACCCACACTACTGCGCCGAAACTTCGAAAAATCGTAACTTCCTCATATGAAATCAGATTTTGACGTTCACTATATGCAGGCTCTCAGTTTTATAGTTACTATGACTTTCATTTAGATTTCTTAGCTAAGAAGCAACATATCTAAAATTCAATTTTTACGACGAGCATAGTCGTGTCAGTTTAATCACGAAAATTCGAATGAGCATAACTTCTTCGTACGAAGTTGGATTTAGAGTCCTTGTATGTACGAAATCATTGTCACGTATACTATAACTTTGGTTAAGATTATTTATCCGAAATAATCTTCTATCAAAAAGTCATTTTTATCGCTTATTACATCTTAATTGTCTAGCCCGAATCTGTAAGCCTTACAACGACCAAGCAGAGGTACCATTTTTCAGATTCGTTGAGCTAGTGAGTTGATTAGGACAATCAAAAGCGGATCAACGACGTAGAGTGTGAAATCCCACCGAAAGAGTAGCTCCACCGATTCCAATTCCAAATCCCACTGAAGCTCCATGAGGTGCTTCTATACCTTTAAATCCACAAACCACAGTAATGAACATATGTGGAGTTCTACACAACTTGCAACCGATTGTCGAGGAATTTGAAGCTTGATGTTGGTGGATGTTTTACAAGTGAAGCATAAAAAGGAACATAGTTTTGTTGGACCTACGTTAGGTTTCAGTTAATAACCTATCGACAACGTGGAAGTGACAAGGACTGTGTGGCTCCTCGCCAGTTGTGACAAATACGCTTAAGAACTTGAAAATGAGTTAATAATTTAGTGTTTCCTCTATCTAACTAGTAAACAAATAATAATATTATGCACCTTTGAAAACAAAAATGAAAACTTTATAAGGCTATAATGATATTATATATTAAAATTTTATGAATTATTAAGTTGACATTTAAGTATTACAAAAAAAACTTAACGGAAAAGATGAATAATTGTGGATGCTATAAATAATGATAAAGTGCTTTGATTCTTTTATATAATCTGAATAAAAACGGATAGAGTAAAAAGTGAGGGAGATTGGATTCAAATTTAATAAGAGAAAATTGAATTTATTTAAATATGGAAAAAGAAGGTGAAAGCATCCATGCGCAGAGAGCAAAGGGTGCCCCACTCCCACCCCCTTTCATGGCCTCGGCTCCCATCCCAACAGCCGTCCACCTCAAAAGCTCCCTCAAATATCATTCTCTTCCTCACCGCAATTCAATAAAATAATCGCCGTTTTCCCCTTTTCCCCGATGATTTCCGGGGAACATTACAGTCTGCCACCACCATTATTCAATCTCATCACTTCATCTTTTTCATCGATCAACAACTAACTTCTTATACCACACAAACACTTGTGTAACGGAAAGAGGTAGATCAATATGGGTGGGATGACCTCATCCATGGCGGCGAAATTCGCATTCTTCCCGCCCAATCCACCTTCGTATAAGCTAGTTAAAGACGACCTCACTGGTTTACTCCTTCTCAGTCCTTTTCCTCACCGGGAAAACGTCGAAGTTCTTAAACTAACCACTCGTCGAGGATCGGAGATCGCTGCTGTGTACGTGAGACACCCTATGGCTACTTCAACTGTTCTGTATTCTCATGGTAACGCCGCCGATCTAGGTCAGATGTATGAGCTCTTCATCGAACTCAGTATTCGGTTAAGAGTAAATCTCATGGGGTACGCTTTTCTATCTCAAAACCCCTTAATTTTACTCTCTCTACGTTTTTTCCATTTCTCAATTTCCAGATTTGGATACACATTCGTCGCTGTCAAGTACTGTTTTATTCATTACTAAACCCTAATCACTTCGAATTGCGCATTCAATTTAGTGATTAAGAAGTTATTTGCATTCCTAGATCTCATGGTGATTTGCTTCTTGTGTTCTGTTTATGCCAAGATATCTGTTTTGATGACTGTATCCTCTAGTATTCTTTCAATTTTTGATCGGATTATTGTTTGTGTCTTCTAGGGTTCTTTCAATTTGAGATCAAATCATTAAAAAAATGTAAACTACTAATCCAATTTCTATCTTTCCATTAAATCTTGAGTTATATTCAGTGCATTTCTACTGTAGATTATACTTTTCATTTGATTTAAATTGTTATCACGTTACTTTTTTCTAAATCCTTCTTGCAAAAACATACTTTTTTGCAATTCCATTTTATTCTACTTTGTTGTTAATCATAAACTGCACGCTAGAATCATCCTTCAACATTATCTTGTTCAAAATCTTAATAACTTGATTAGGAGTAAATTGCATCATTAAAAAATCGGTTACTAAAATTCACTTATGATTCATGAAATTGAAAATAGTCAAAAGACCATGGAAATATTCACCAAAAAACATACATTTGCGTGATATTTATCTCATTTTCTACATCTTTCCTAAAATTTATAGTTTTGATTGAAGCATTTACTAGGTGATCAACAATGGAGATACATTAAAAGAATGTAATTTTTGCAGGTATGACTACTCAGGATATGGACAATCTTCGGGGAAGGTGAGCAAATTTGGAAAATTCATAGTCAAAATGTTTAAAAAAATTTAGGAGGTGTTTGGATGCATGTTTAAACTAATGTTGCAACAATCAATTTTGAGTTTTTTTGGTAAAAATGATTATAGTTAAAACAACCAAAAGACCAAGTAAGAAGCTGATTTGAGAAAATTGTTTATCATGATAAATGTAAAATTATTTACCTATTCTTAGCTTTAAATCGACTAATCAGCTGACATGACAACCTTGTACTGTATCTGAACTGATTCGAAGAGACAAAAATTGCAATTTTTTGTCTCACCCACAAATATAGAACAAGGTGCGACAGAGACTTCCTCTTGATCACGCGTGTGCAAAAGACGTAAATATCCTCCTTATCAGCAACATCAACAAGAACGCTAGAAAGCTTGTTAGTCTATTCATGTTCTGTCTTGTTTTGTCTTTTCGTGTCCAGTAAAGTCATGTTCTGTTAAATCATGCTTTATTTTGTTCTGTTTTGTCTTGTCCTGTCTGTTTTGTTTATAAGCCTGTATCTTTTGTGTGGTGCAGCCAAGTGAGAATAACACATACGCGGATATCGAAGCAGTTTATAAGTGTCTCGAAGAGAGCTATGGAACAAAGCAAGACGATATCGTCCTTTATGGTCAATCCGTTGGAAGTGGGCCCACATTAGATTTAGCAGTTCGCCTTCCTCGATTAAGAGCAGTCATACTTCATAGTCCGATACTCTCAGGATTACGAGTCATGTACCCTGTTAAACGCACATATTGGTTCGACATTTATAAGGTTAATTACATTTTTTTTCTTAAATTCCATTTTATCATTTTTAAATAATAAAAATAATCACATTTAAATCACTTTTCTTCCATTTTTTCAGAACATCGACAAAATCCCAATCGTCGATTGCCCCGTTCTCATCATTCATGTAAGTTCGCAAATCCCTTTATTTGATTGATCAAATAGGTTGTGTTTTTTCTGTATTTTGTCATATTTATAATGTAATCTTTATAGTTTTATTAACTTTGTTGAAAACAAATATTGTATTTTTATCTAAATGGACCTTTGTCTAGTCCTCATCTACTTTGGAATTATATGATTTCTTTTTTCTTCTTTATATTATATTATTAGCAACATCTGACTTCCATTATTTGGTCTTTGGAGTTTTCTAGTTCATGGCCCCTACCCCTACCCCACCCCCCACCCACCATGCTCTGCTTATCATGTTATGCCCTTGATTCAATGTCTCAACTAATGTCTAAATGATTGCTAGCTTCCCTTTTTAATGATTAAATGTTAAAAAATTCTTAAAAGAGACTTAAATGATGTTGCTTGCTATATGTGGCAAAAGGGCATTGTTGGAATTTGGATATATTGGGTAAAAACTGTAAAGTATCAAAATGTGTAATTTTTTAGGTCAAAATTAAATCATGGTTAATTTGTCAACTCTGTCTAATTTCTTAGTTTCACAAATCAATAATTTAAAGTAAGTTGTAATTAATAGCCTAATACTTTATTCGCAATAAATTTACATTTTCATTATTAAAATAAATCATTTCTTTAATAATCATTTATTTTAACTGGTTGAAATTCTAGGGCACAGCGGATGAAGTGGTTGATGTATGTCACGGGAAGCAACTTTGGGAGCTTTGCAAAGAGAAATACGAACCACTTTGGATCGAAGGAGGAAACCACTGCGATCTCGAGCTTTATCCCGATTACATCCGCCATCTGAAGAAATTCATCTCAACGATCGAGAAATCGCCGCCGCACAGACACAGCAGTTCGCGGCGGAGCACCGATCATCATTTTGAACCACCACGGCGGAGCACCGACGTGTTTGAGGCATCGAGAAAAAGCACAGATCGACGAGAGAAACCGAGGAAAAGCACCGAGAAACTGAAAGCGCAATCGATTAATGTGGAGAAGTTGGAGAAGATGAGGATGTCGTTTGATCAAATGGAGAGATCGAGAAGAAGTGTTGATGTGAATGTGATTGAGAAGACGAGAAAGAGTGTGGATGTTCAACAGCTGGAGAGAGGGAGAAAGAGTGTTGATCGGATGGATAGAATACGAAGTGGATAGAATCTTCATAGAAGGTGTTGTGATTTGATTTGGTGTTTATTTAAACTAAAAAAAAAATGTAAAATTTAAGCATGGTTTGATTGATGTTTGTTTGGCATCATATGTTGTTGGTTGTATTTATTCCATATCTTTTTTTTTTTTTTTTTTTTTTTTTTTTTTCTCTTTTTAAACTACTAGTTTCACTATTACATGAAATGAGAAAGGTTGTGGTGGTATACATTTCGATTATTCAATAAATTCATGCCAAAATGAGTAAACACTATGGGAAAGTTTGTTTTGATGAAATAAAATGATCAAAAAGGACTCATGAGGTACTATCTTTTCAATTCGATGTTTTTTGACACACTTTGGATGTTAATTGATCTAATACATCTATTTAATATTTACTACAATGTCATTTATACTATAATATCCATCGAGTGTCTCAAAAATCAAAATCGAGTAACAAATTATTCAAAGTGTTAAAATACACTCATGATTGAAAAATAGTTAGTGATAAGATAAGTTATTACTAATTTTGTGCAAAATGTATTATGTTGATCTATAATTCGTTGGATATGTAAAATTGACCAAACTTGATATATTAGTTCAAAACACACCCTCAACCATTTCAAACCAACATTGATGGCATAAACTCCACTTTTACGGCCACTACCTTAGTTAAATGGAGAATGATTTATTTTTTAGAGTTAATACATAATTTTGTGGTCTACCATGGTAAAACAAAATATTTCTTATTGATTGATAACTTAAAATTCAATGTACCCGTCTAGAAAAACAGTTATAGTTGGACTAATGGAGAAATCTACCATTAGCAAAAAGAAATAGGTGATATATAAAAAGCATGTGCTTAAATTCTATTGGTTACACTCATAAGTCATCATGAAAATCTAAAGTCAATTTTCTTAGTGCCGACAAAAGAAAATACATTCTTTGCATAGAAAGCATATGAACATACTATAGTTCCACTATTTTAGTATATCCAAACAAACATACTATTAGGTTCCACTATTTTAGTATATCCAAACAAGCCAAAAATATGTGTTAGGATAAGGTTTTAGTAGATTATATTATAGAATGTCCAGTGAGTTTGATTTCTCTGTAAAATACTAGGTTTGCCCAATATGTTTATGTCCGATCTATAGTTTTTTAATAATTGTAATTAACGAGAACAGATCATTATGGGAAATTATCATATTAGTATGGTATCATAGCTAAAATAAGATCTCTAATTTCATTAGGTCTACCAAAAAAACCTAATGAAATTACAAAAATTTAACTACTTGAATCTTTCAACTTGCGTGAATTTTTTTTGCTCGAGCTTTACCATTGTTTTTTCATCAAGATGTTAGCAAGCTCTTCCAACTTTTTCTTTTTAGTTCATAATTCCTTAAATAATTTTACATACTTGGAAATTTGTGCAATTGTTTCAACCAAAGGATTATTATCATGTTATTTCTTGAATAAACCCATAAATGTGCCATATTGAGAATCCAATTTGTCATTCCTTTGTCAAGTTGGGAACGAAGAATAGTGTCATATGGGTTCAACAAAGTGAAAACCAAGGTGGGATACTTGTGGTACTTTGTGAGAATTTAGGTCGTACTTGGTCTAATGAGAAATTAAATTCGAATTTGACATGCAGAAATGATAACCACACAATCGACACGATATGATTTGAGTGGTTAAGAGATATATTTGATCATGATGATGAATTACAAAAAGGGATTAGATCTAGTCCACAAAATAACTCCAGTCATTCTTCTCTATGACTACATCTCTCAAGTGCACTCTACAAATGATATGAAATTCACTATATATAAAGATGCATGTACATGTCACACACACACACACACACAAACACACGCACACACACACATACACACACACACACACACACACTCTCTCTCTCTCTCTCTCTCTCTCTCTCTCTCTCTCTTTCTCTTTCTCTCTCTCTAGTCACAAGGCATAAAACCCACATGTCTAAATGTGTATTCCAATTCTTCTCTTTGACATCCTCCATAAAAAACTTTGCACCCAACATTCTTCCCCTCAAAGTTCGGAATATATGATGAGACGCTATGTAACGCCCCGTTTATTTAAATAAATTAATAAATATAAGTCCCAGACTAATTTGTGAAGAATTTTTAAAACTCAAGGGTTAAAAGTGTACATTCGGGACTTGAATTGAAAAGAAGTGAAGGCTTAAGGGTTTATTGGTAATTTAGGGATCTATTATGAAAGAATTTAGGAGCTGGGGTCTAATGTGTAAATAAAGGAGCAAATTTAAAGGAATAAGGGAAGGGAGGGCTGGAAGTGTATTTTATGGAAAGTTGAAAGAAACCAGGGTATATATACCCATCACTCTTCGGGAACCCTAACCCTAGGAGCCTTAGCAACCGCAACCCCCCTTGTATCCCCTCCGTCGATCACCACATTTCCCCTCTGGACTCCCGTTGTCGCACCATCATCATCATGGAGGTCAGAAGCCACCAACGGCCACCATCTGCCGGCGAGAGTGTGACCGCCACTGTTCCATCGCCTCTCCGCGTTTCCTTATTCTTCCGCTTTCTTCTACCGCCACCTGCTGTGTCGCTAGAGTACCGAAGACCGCTACACTGCCATGGAGGGTCGCCTTTGCAACGTTGCTGCTGGAGAATCGCCGAGACTGAGAAAGCTAATGGTGTTCGTCACCGTGCAAGTCGTGAATGGAAAGGAGCTCTCGGTTTGGACCATCGCCTCCCACCTACGTCTGTTTCTTCACTCTTTCTGTGGCCGACATCGAGTACGTCAGTGGGAACCGGTGGTGGGTGTTGGTCGTCGTTTGCCACCCGTGGTGGCTGAGTCGGGAAGCTTCAGTCTCTAGATCCCGATTAAGGGCGAGTGCGTGTGGATTTTCAGCTGGGAAACAAGGGAACCGCCGCCACCACCTCGCGGTGGTGGCTGTCACCGCAAAAAGTCACCGTTAGCTGCTGCCACTGCCTTCTCTCGCCACTTCTAGGAGGGTGGTTGGATCCGGTTGCAAGATTATAGCGTGGTTGGGTTCGTTTGCAACAGAAAACGTATGTGTGTGTGTTTATTGCAGTTAGGTGATGTTTGGCCGAAATTCTTGAAGAACAGCCACCACCACCACCGTGAGGTGGTGGCTGCCGCCACGAGCCACCATTGGCCACCATGGTATGGCTGTGTGTGTATTAGTTAGTGTGTGTATTTTGGATAAAAGCCTTGTAATTGTAATTGCATGGAATAATGAAAATAATAATAGTAACCACCACCATAGGGTGGTGGCCGCCGCCGTGAGCCGCCATTGGCCACCACTACCCGAGGCGGTAATGGGTGGTGCCCCGCAAGCAAGCCCTAATGGACCTAGCAAGACCTAAATGGGCTTAAAGACTTATTTGGGCCATGTTTGAGTGAAAAACCCTAATTGCAAGTATTTGGGCCTTGGAATTATTGGACCCACTTTTGGGCCATTTAGATTGGATTGTGTATTAAGCCCAATTTCTCCATATCAATTATCTAGTAGAGTAAAGGACTTAATGGATTAAGTCCTTAATGGGCTAAGTGAGAAAACCCTAATATTCACTTGGGCTTTGTGTTGGGCCATCCAAGAATAATCAAATGGACTAGAGTGATTAGTTGGACTTTAGGGTAAGTCCCATATGAAGGATTGGGCCCAATTTGGAAAATTGGGCCATAGATGGGCCATAGTTTGGGCCTAGATGGTTGTATGATATTGGGCCCTTAGAATGAGACATGTTGGACTGGACTGAATAATTGGGCCTTAAGGGAAGTCCATGTAGAGGTTTGGGCCCAATTTGGAAAATTGGGCCATAGTTGGGCCTTGGTCCATTATTACACTTTTGGGCCTTTGGTTTGGGCCTTGGGCTGGAGTCAAGCTAAGATAGGGGTAAAGCTATCTTTTACCCAAGTATGGACTTATGGTTATGAGTTGGAACCCAATTATTAATTGGGTGTTATTTTGGTGTTGACAGTTCGGGAATCTGTCATCCAGCAGCTGGGGTTGAGTCTGCGGGATTTCAGCAGTGGGGATTATGTCTATGGGACTTCAGCAGTGTGAGGTGAGTTTTCCTTCCAGTAGGAACGGGTCTACGGCCACAATGCCGGCCCGTTTAGTTAGCAGTAGTCCCAGACTTCGGTTCGATGCAGTAGTGCAGTGTGCTTGATGTCTTTGTGATTCAAGCATGTCCTTGTGTTATGTGTTATGGACTTCGGTCTGATGTAGTATGCAGTATATGTGTTTATGCTAGTAGTTATGATTATGCTATGCTATGTTCAGTCAGTTCCGGACTTCGGTCCGATGTAGAGGGCAAGGCCCTGGTTAGTTCCGGACTTCGGTCCGATGCAGTTTCCGGACTTCGGTCCGATGCAGTGGGCGAGGCCCTAGTTAGTTCCGGACTTCGGTCCGATGCAGTGGGCGAGGCCCTAGTTAGTTCCGGACTCCGGTCCGATGCAGTGGGCGAGGCCCTAGTTAGTTCCGGATTTCGTTCCGATGTAGTGGGCAAGGCCCTAGTCAGTTCCTGACTTCGGTCTGATGCAGTGGGCAAGGCCCAGTATGTGCTTTATATGTTATTGTATGGTGTGTGGTAGTTTGGGGAGACTCACTAAGCTTCGTGCTTACAGTTTTCAGTTTTGGTTTCAGGTATTCAGTTTTCAAAAGAGGAGCTCGGGAAGATTGCAGTGCACACACCATTTGTTCAGCCTGGGATGTTTATACTCTGATATACTTGACAGTTGTTATAATATTTTGAGATACATTGCTTATGATTTTTATATGATGTTTATCGACTATGGTTTTTATTATTAAATGAAACGAAATTTTCAGACTGTGTTTTTGGGATGTTACACGCTAAAAACCAAATCAGCTACTAGCAAATAAGAAGTCCATCCGTGACATCATAATGAGCAGAAATGTAACATCATGTTTCGAATTGTTCCCATTTTGAATTGGCGATCAAAGGATTAAGTGCTATCAAGCTACGGATACCTGAGGGGTTGGGTTTCAGACCCACTTGGAGTTGGACAATGTACCTTGGATTGATCGGGTATTCCTGT